ATTGCGTAATGTTCGAATGGCACAAGCTCGTAAGCAGTTTTTCCTCCTTTGCAATGTTCTTTAAGTGAGAATTCCCCTCTCCAAAGAATCGCTTTACAATAACAACTTTACCCTTAGGAGCGCAATTGCCTTTCATCACCGATCCAAAGTTTCCCTTACCAATCTCGTCCTTATCTTTAACGTCACCCCACGCAAAACTGGGTAAGCCCTCGAAGTAACCTTTTGAAAGCGATTTAGGCTGAAGAAGTGGGACTTTAAAGCCATTATGTCCCTCTGTGAGAGTGACCACGTGGAGATCAATGCGGACTTGAACTCACATGTGAAAATGAGTGCTCGAATCAACTACAGTGGCTTATCGTTTGAACCGGAAATAACTAATTGTTAAATTGTTAGAATTGTTCCGGCTTAATGTTTGAGCTGGAAATAAAAACAACTCTCAACTTGAATTAATCTGAATATTAATTGTTCAGTTTATGGAAGATCTTGCCATATTTACAGCCCTAAATCATTCGGGTTCTTTCGGAAAGAATTTCGTTAAGTTTAAAAAATAAATATGTGATTTACCAGCTAAGGGTCGGTCCGTATGGCGAAAAACTGTAACCTCCCAGCCGGCAAATAACATATATATATCTTATTCTTTTATATATTATTTCTGTTATATTTTTACACTCCGCATTCTCCACAATCCACATTTTCTACACTCCGCACTCTGCATTCCACGTTTTCAAACGAAATCTCAAATATGGCTCCTCTGCTTTCTAAGGGTCTGTTTACATGGAGGTGGGGGACCCCAGGTAGGTGAGGTAACCCGCCTAGGTGGGGTGACCCGTCTGTCCATGTAATTTCTTATTTGATCTCGATCACGTTTACTAGGTGGGATATGATAGGTAGGGTGACCCACCTGGGCGGGTTGTCCAGTCTGTCGGGTAGGGTATCCCTGTCAGCCGGGGTGACAATTTGCCATGTAAAAGTCTCAAGGAGGGGTAACCCGCCTAGCCGGGGTCGCGTTCATGGCAAAAAGCTCAAAAGCGTTACATGTGTGTTTTAAAACTTTGTACAGCTGTGTACTAGCCGTTTGATGGCAGAAATCACCAGAAACCGCAACGGAAACACAAGGAGTGTAAAATGTTCACATTTCGGAATATTTAGCGTTGTAAATCGAC